CCTCCTAAGTGGTAGAGGGTGCAAGTTGGAAAGCAATGTTGAAAGAGCCTTGTTGAGTTAGTTGCTAGGCATTTTACAAACTGTATGGGCTGCTGTAATAGTGTGCCAATAATGGAATAGGTGCCCATTAAATTGACTCGTTAGTCCCAGATAGAGCTGAACTTCTTGGGAGTGTGGTTGGGATTGCACTCATGTAGGCTAGTGAGGAGAAATGCATCACATCCCTAACCTGCGCCTTGTGGATGGTGCACATACTACAGTACAGGAAGTCAAGAGCTGAGTCAATGGCGATAGAATTTCTGACTTTGACCTGCTCCTGGAGCCACAGTATTTATGTTATTGATCCAGTTGTTTCTGGTCAATAGCAGTGGTATGAGTACTTAGTAATGATAATGCTATTGCTATTGAATGTCAAGGGGAACTGATCAGACATGTTTGTGTGACAAACATTACTTGCCAGTTATCAATCCAACCCCCAATGTTGTCCAGGTCTTGCTGCACCCGAACACAGCTTGCTTCACTGTCTGAGGAGCTGCAAATGAAACTGAACATTGAGAACTCAGTGGTGAACATTCCCAATTCGAACTCAATGATGGATTAGTGAAGCAGCTGAAGGTATTCAGACCTTGACAGGACCTGGAAGAGAGGGTCCACATGGTTTTAATCACTAGGTCACATGATTTGGGGGAAATGGACATATTGGACATGTTGCAGCACTTAAAACAGGCAGAAGCAGAGAGCTACTCTTGGGGTTTTGATGGGACAACCCCAGAAATGGTGCCTGGGACATAGTAATACTCTCAGAATCATACCTTACATACAATGTCAAGTTCTTAGTTGACTAGTCTTTTGGCACAGGTTTCTAAATATTAGCAAGAGGGCCAACAAGGCTATGTGTGCCATTGACATTGTCAGTGCCAGGTAGTTTTATTGGACTTGGAAACTGTTAGATAGAGTGGACACATTGCTGCGGATCTGCAGTCACAGGTTGGCAAGACCAGGTGAGACTGACAGATTTTCCTTCTCTAAATCTTTTTTGTGAATCAGATGTGGTAGATACAGTCACCGTTAGGCTAGCTTTCAATTCCAGATGTTTTATTTGATGTCATCCCATGCCATTTCCATATCCCTTGGTCCAATTAGGAATCAGAAGTCTATCAATCTTGGTCTTGAACTGAATTAATAACAGCTTCCTCAGCACTCTGGATACAGAATTCCAAAGATTTACCACAGTCTGAGTGAAGATGTATTTCCTCACTTCTGCCCTAAATGGGTTGTCTTTTAATCCGAGACCGTGTCTTCCAGTTTTGAACACCATAGCCAGAAAAAACATCATTTCTGCATCTAATTTGTTTCATCCTTGATGAAAAACTAAATTTTCTGTGCAATTGCCTCTAATTCATTTAAACTCCAGAGACACAGAATCAGCCTCTTCAATCACTCAACCCAGGATCCCAGAAATCACTCTTGTTAGCATTGCTGCACACCCTCAATGGCAACTATATCCTTCCCAAGGCAAGGGAAGGGGAGCAGACTGTACATAATACTGCTGTGCAGTCTCACCGATATTCTTTATAATGAAACAAGACTTTTTGCTTCTGTACTTAACTCCCCATGATAAAGGCTAATCCTCAGTTTGCCCTCAGAATTGCTTGCTGTACTGCCACACTAGCTTTCTGTGACTTATGGACAAAGACATGAACATTTTCCAAACCCTCATCATTTAAGAAATGCGCTGTGCCATTGCTCCTCCTCCTGTGTGTGTGTGTGTGTGTGTGTGTGTGTGTGTGTGTGTGTGTGTGTGGAAACATAAATCCTTGATGCTTGTGACTTTTAGAAACAATTTAGACTTGAATTTAGAAGGGTTGATCAGTAAGTTAGCAGATGATATTAATATTGGTGGGGTGGTAACTAGTGAGCCTTAGACTACAAGGGAATATAGAGGATCTGGTCAGACGGGCTGATCAGTAGCCAATGGAGTTCAATCTGGATAAACGTGAGGTGATGCACTTGGTCAGGACAAACAAGGTGAGGGAAAACATGATGAATGATGGGACCTGGGAGGCAATGAGGATCAGACAGATGTTGGTGAGCATGTCCCCTGGTCCCTTAGGATAGCAGGACAGGTCGAGAGTGGTTAAGCAGCCATATAGTATACTTGTCTTTATTAGACGAGGCACAGAGTTTAAGACTATCCATTCTATCCCTCCCCATCAATTTTATAACCTTCTATCAGGTCATTCTCTGACATTCAAGTGAAAACAAACCAAGTTTATCCAATTTCTCCTCATAGGTAATATCCTCAAAACCAGGCAACATCCTCATAAACCATTTCTGCAGCATTTCCAAAGCCTCCACATCTTTTGGGTAGTGGGGTAACCAGAACTGTACACAATATTCCAAATGTGGCCCAACTAAAGTTCTATACAGCTGCAACATGGCTTGCCAATTTTTTTTTGCCAATTTTCTATGCCCCAACCGATGAAGGCAAGTATGTCATACACTTTCTTGGCCACCTTATCCATTTGTGTTACCACTTTCAGGGAACTGTGGACCTGTACCCCTCGATCCCTCTGATGTTGATGCTTCTAAGGGGTCTGCCACTTATTGTACACTTCCCTTCTGCACAGGCCTTCCAAAATGCATAACCTCATCTTTTAGAAAGTAAATTGTTAGTTAAGAATACGGTTTCAACAGAATTTATGCAAGAATTAGACGGCATATTTTATATGTGGTACCTTCAGGTTGGGATGATTCTTCTGATTTGTCATCATCGTCATCATCCTCATCATCATCATCATCTTCTGACCCTTTCTCAAATGGTAATTTAGGTCTCAATTCCTTATCTTCAGCATCAGGAAGCAATCCAGTGTCTATGGTTAACGTTTTTTTAGTATCATGTTCAATCTTCACAGACAATGGTCCTAAGGTGTCCGGACATTCTGAATCAACATGTACGTTCTCATCACAATTAGCTTTTCCATCTTCCTTAAGAGGGACTGTGTTCTGCTCTTCCTGAGGTGGTGGGGGTGTAGGACATTTTAGCCCACCTTCAGCTTTGCTATGATCATAGTCAGTTTGTTCTGTACGTTTTTCTTCCTGAACTGATGTGGATGAGACAACAGAAGGCATTTGGCTCAGACAGGCACCTAGCTGGTTTTGAAAAGGCGTACTACTCCGCTGGCTAGCTCCTTTGTTTTGAGCGAAGTTTTTATGGGCCTCTAGGAAAGAAAGCTCAGAATCATTTAGAATATGGTAGTCCGTCCGACTGACTCCATGCTTTGCAGCACCAATCAATAAGTCTTTGTCATGTTTGCCACACTCCCACCATTCAGGCAGATCCATGCTTGGCTGGCACAACTTGAGTCGTTGATCAAGCTGAGCATGAAGCAAAACCTGCTCTCGAACCTTCCGGAGAAGTTCTATTCGATACAAAGTTCTAGAAGCACGTTCCTCCGTAATTGGCTCAATGAAAATGGTGGAATCAAGCTCTTCATAATAAAAACAAAATATTTTCATAAATATGGAAAACAAAATTGACTCAAGTTCTTTTAATTTGGTGCTTACTAAATTCTGCATTTTAGACTCTGATTCACAGTATGGATCATATTTACGTCAATTGATGCAGGTTCTACCCACCCCCCAAAAAATGAAGACTTCTTAACTCTATCACCTGATTTGGCTCCACATTTTAGTGTCTTACCTTCACCAGGATTTGGAGGCATACGGCACACCTTTCTGCACATAGCCACAAAACAACTGAAGTATTTTTCCAAACTGTCGTCAGCCTTTTTATCCAGTCTAGCAAAGGCACGGAACTGGCTCCAGTCAAATTGCTTCTTTATGGGATCAAAAACCACACCGAAGGTTGATACAACACGGTAGAAGTCTGCCTCTTCTCGCCTGGTCCATCTGTAATTTAAAAATGTGCTTGTGAAAGTTATTTTAACACTGAAAACCTGTAGGTCTTCACCAATCATATGAAAACCTAACCACAAAATCATATAGGCATGTAGTGGAATTCCAAGGATTTAGGTTTGGGATAGCCACGATCCCACAAGTGTATTATTCTGCTATTTCTGAGTTAGTCAAATATAAAACATAAACAAATCCTAAATGTACCAACAAAATCCTCCAGCCTCCAGAAATATTTGTCGGAAGAATCCCATCAAAAGGTGAGGTAAACCTTGAACAACCCTATTTTAATTATTAATGTTTCAAAAGTTACATTTCAACTTAGAAGTTAATGGATTTCAATTCAAAACCAAAAGAAATGTTGGAACATTGACCTTAAGTTGTGATTCACAAAAGTGTGCTTTTTGGTCCTTAATACTTAAACTCAAGCTATCTTACTTAAGTACTACTTGAAGTAGACAGTAGTGAGAGACAAGACAAGAAAAATAAAACCATTTTCTGCAGTTCAAAGTACGAATGGAGGGATCATCAACTTTGAGGATGAATGGCCTTGTAAAAGCAGGAAAAATACTTGCTTTAGACAGTACCTTGGAAAGATCTTCAGAGGTACAACTAGAAATAGTGACGGGCAAGCAGAGGCCAAGCTATTAAAGAAATACTGAAAAACTTGGTATAAATAGTGATTTTTGAAAAAGGACTTCAAAACAGGATGAAGGTGGAAAAACAAAGGGGTTCAGAAAGGGAACTACAAAATGGGTTTTCTAGACTGTTGAAAGCATGTCTGCCAAAACTGAGGTGGAGAGAGTGAGGGACATAAGATACCAGAGTCAGAGCAGCTCTAACAAGATTATAGGACTGTAGAGGATCATAGAGAAAGGGATGGGCCAGATAATGAAAGTACTTCAAAAATAATGAGAATTTTATCTTAAAGTTGCTGGTGAACATGACTTGGCAGCAATGCATTAGAACACCAGTATAGAGACAACAAACGCAGAGACTTCACTTTCAGTAGCAGTTGAGCTGAGAGCTGGTCAAAAGCAGCTGATAATACAGATGTCCATATACTGGTGTTCTGGCTAACCAGCCTTCTTTAAACACCTCCATCAAAAACTGCTATTCATTGATCCTTTATTTCATTCATAGAAGCAGCTACTTTCTCTGCAAACACAACAGAAAATATGTCTTAAAGTACATAATCATACGGGAAACACAAAGTACTTACAGAAGAAGCATTAAATAAAAATAAAAGTGCGAGTTTGTGTTAAAAAAGTGTAATACTTGCATGGTTGAGAAACAGGTAATCATATCTTGTAATGAATGACAAACATCAAAAATAAGATATTCTGATTCATTAAGTTAGAACCGATACATAAATTAGCCCCGACTGTAACCTGGGCATGGGGTCAGTGGAACAAACTTCAGGCTTGTGTTGGTTAATGGTCATGAGTTCATGGCCATCTTAGCTCTTGGGGACATTGTTCCTAAATTATTTAAGCTTAAACAATATGAACTCACAACTAGCAACAGATAAAAAAAACAAAGCTCTGTATTTATTTTATAAGTTGGTGCTTTTAACTGTGTAAACTGAGGACTTCTGTCAATATGTGAGGCCTTAAGTGATTGAGAATCAGTTAACATTTGACTGCAGAAACCTGAATACAGAATTTGTAAAAATACTCAGCAAACAAGGGGAATGAAATAAGCAATTCATATCAACACCGTAATAGCTGCATTTCAAAAGTGTAACTTTCTAAATTGAAATGTTTCCATTAGAACTAAATCCTGCTTTTGAAAGTGCAGGAAGGGAGAAATCACCAATAGCAAAGCAACTGTTATAGATTATGTGCTTGAGAGATGCAGAGCATAAATAATATCATGGCTTCAGCAACATAACATCAATATGGCTCTAGCAACATTGAAATGATATTGTTCCAGCATAACAGCTGTAAAGATTCACTCCTTTTAAACTTAATTTCAGGTATCTCTGGTTGTGTTAGTTTGGGTGACAAGTCTAAAAGTTATCACTTACTAGAAAAGAAACAAAGGAAAATCTGAAAACTTCATACTGCTAATTAATTTCTAGCATATTGAACTTCACGTATTTTCAAAGGAACTCATTCTGATGCTACACTAGTATGATACAGTTGCTAACTACTAGTCCAGTTTCTGAATTTAGTTGCTTTGATAAATACTCTTAGTTAATGGAAAGTGCTTTGAAAACCATTGTGTAAGGTTCAGTCAATATTGGTTCTGAAGGGAGTCATGTATTCAGAACGGTGAAAAAGAGTGGTGCTGATGCCTCAGACATTTCTTTCCTGATGGAAACATTTGACAGATGAATAAGTCAAACTTGAACCCTATCTTCTGAGGTGGTTGGAATCAAAAATGTTAAAAAAAGATAGGGCACCAGACCAGTTCTAGCACACATCACAAATATCTCACATTTTGAAGAAGTATAGCAAAATAAATCTTAATGGAAAGGAACTTGAATCACTTTTGGGGCCAGCAGTAATGCTCACAAAATCAAATCCTCCCCAACCAATATCTTTAGTTGAAATAAAATTTTTGTGAGGCACATGAATGTGTTAAAAATGATTAAAACACCAAGCAATTCCATGTGGCTTTAAAAGCCTTTCATGAGACTTTCTTGGGAGATAAGTATTCATCTTAAAACTTACTGATGAAATCCTAGCTTGCCTTAAGCTAGCCATTTCAAGAATTATGCCATCGAAAGTAGTGTCATGGTCCAAACATTCATCTGTTCAGGTCTTGCTTAACTCGCCTTTTGGTGCCAAGAACTGTGAAATATAAGAACCAAGTCTTTTTGGGCCAAAAATACTAGAATGACCATTGTTTCATCCATGCCAATAACCCAACTAGAAAGAGAATAGGCATTCAAAAGGTTTTCCGGTCATTAAAATTAACACTCTAAATTCAGTGTTCTAAAGCTAATATTCTGGCTTTGTGTCTGAACTTCCTCAAATCAGAGGATCTGAAAGAGCAGACTGCAAGAATCAACCATAACTCCATAGTAGCGCTAACATTTCATGAGCCATGAGTTTGGGAGTTCAAGTCCTACTCTAGACACTTCAACAAAATCTAGGTGACGTTCCAGTATAGCACCGAGTGGCAGCAGAACTATATTTTGATAGGATATTAAGCAGAGACTGCATTTGTCCTCTTGGTTGGATGCAAAACAACCAGAAATTCATAAAGTTCTGACAATTATATATCATTCAAGCCACACCACAAGAACAGACTAGCCAATTATTTATCACATTCCCATTTGTGGACTCCAGGTTACTCCATTTCATACTTATTGATTGGGACGAACTTCAGAATATCCCAAGATCACTAAAGGTACTTTATAAATACTTTTCTTCCTGTTCAAGAAAGCAAAGCATAAAAAGGTGCTGACATTTTTCCCTCTTCTACAGAATCCTCAAAACTGAATCTCTTTATTGCTGTTTAAGAGCAGCTAGCTCAGCTTATAGTCCCGTTTGTACCAGCTGCTGCCTTTCTGCCCTTGAACCCATCTTCCACACAATAGAAAGTTGCATCGCAAGGCCCTGGAGAAACCGGAACCTAGAAACATTTACATATGCTGTACTTTATTAGCAGCCAGGTATAAAAGTCTTGATGACATCCAGCTGAATGAACTTGCAAGAGCTAAACGGATGCTTCACTGGTGGATAGAACACCAGCCAGATGGGTAGTCCCAGGGCAGATCTTCACAGGCTCCCATTGCTAAGGTCACAGGCAGGGAGCACAGAAACTTCCATGAATGGTGCTTGACCAGCCGCTGACACATCTACAAGCTTATGTTAGACTGGCGAGGTATTTGGGGGCCCATTGCAATTAAGACCTTTATGTGGTCAGTGGCTGCTTGCCATCTGCACTAAATTTCACACTGGCTCAGAGGAGTCCAACAGCAGGCCCATGGCCAGCAGGTCATCTTGCTCAAGTGTGAAGAGTTAAGGGGTAAGAGTGGAATGGTGCCTTGGGGAGAAAAGGAAATATATATAAATGAGGGAGGGAGGGGAGGGGAGGGGCGGGCACGAGAGTGCACAGTGGGGGCGAAAGAGCTGGCGAGAGAGATTTGAGAATGGAAGTTCGAGGTGGCAGAGGAGAGAGAGAGAAAGCACCTCCCTCAGGTGGCCCCTTTTCATATCAGCCACCTTGTAACCGACTGCAGCGATGTGTGGAGACAAGGTGCCTGTTTGCACTTGGAGCTACAATGCAGCTGTAGCAGGAAATCAGACCTTTAATCATAAACATTGTAAGCTTTGTCTTAGCTTACAAATATTTTGAATCATTATTACAATAATTGCTTTAAAAAGATCAGTATTACTTATTTATGCAAAATACCTGGAGTTAAACTGTCTGCTGGTCCTTTCCCAATCCACCAACGCCCTAGCAATAAAAGGCAGTGCTGTAACATTATGAAGCACAAGACAAGGAATAGGAACAGGAGGCGGTCGTTTGGCCCCTCAAGTCTGGTCTGCCATTCAACAGGCTGATCAGATGTGGTTGATCTGACATCCCTCATGTCCATTTTCTTGCCCTTTCCCCGTATCACTCAATTCACTGACTGATCGAGGATCTATGTATCTCAATCTTAAATATACACAACGACTCTGCCCCCACAGCTCTGTGGCAAGGAGTTCCAAAGGCTCAACCTTCAAGGAAGAAATTCCTCCTCTTCTCAGTCTTAAATTGGTGTCCCTTTATTCTGAGACTGTGCCTGCTGTTCCCATGAGGGAAACAACTCAGCATTTATCCATTTATCAAGTTCCTTAAGAATCCTGTATGTTTCAATGAGATCACTTCTCATTCTTCAAAACCCCCATTAGTAGAGTCCCAACCTGTTTAACCTTTGCTCATAAGACAATCTCTCCAAAGCCCAGATCATCCCAGTGAACCTTCTCTGAACTGCGTCCAATGAAATAATCATAGAATGACAGAATCCCCAGTGTGGAAACAGGCCCTTCAGCCCAACAAGTCCATCCTGACCCTCAGAGCACTCCATTCTTTTCCTTAATTAAGGGCCCAAAACTGCTCACAGTACTCCTGACGTACTCTCACCAGACCATGTACAGTTGCAGTAACACTTGCCTACTCTTATACTCCAATCTGCTAGAAATAAGGGCCAACATTCCATTTGACTTCCTGATTCCCTGCTGTACCTGTGTGCTGGCTTTCTGTATTTCATGCATAAGCTTCCCCATGTCCCTTGGTGTTGCAGATTTCTACAAGTTTTCTCCATTTAAGTAATGTCCTGTTCTTTTGATCTCCCTTCCAAAATGAACTTCACATGTTAACACATTATACTCCTTTTGGAAATTTTTTGCCTACTTAATTAACCTACCAATATCTCTCTGTAAACAATCTGTCTCCCTCTTGCAACATGCCCTTTCACTGTTTTTGTGTTGTCTGCAAATTAGTACAATACATTCGCTTCCTTCCTCCCTAGTTATTACATACATTATAAACAGTGGTATTCCCAGACTGATCCCTGAGACCCCCACTGGTCACAGGTTGCCAACCTGAAAAAGAGCCCATTATTCCTACTCTGTTTCCTGCCCACTAGCCAATATATTACCTCCAACACCTTGGGCTCTTATCTTATGACTTAACCTTTTGAGAAGCATCTTGGACTTTTAGAAGGCATTTGATAAATACAACACATCTACTGGCTTCCCTCTATCCACTCTGGTTGAGACTTCCTCTTAAAAACTCTAATAAATTAGTCAGACACAATTTCACCTCCACAAAGCATGTAACATTGCTAAAGCTGACTAGTACATGCATCTTAAATTGTTCAACGATAATATATCCTCTGATCATTTCCTCTAATTCTCTGGAAAAGCCCTAAATTCTCTGCCTAGAAGAAAAAAGTCAAAGGAAGGCAACCTTGAAAACGCATCCATGCATCATTTGTCAGCATGTTGATGCTGTAAATTCCAGATCTTAAACAGATTTGAAATTTTTTCTAGTCGATAAGACCATAAGTAGGAGCAGAAATTAGGCCATTCAGCCCATTGAGTCTCCTCAACCATTCAATCATGGCTGACAAGTTTCTCAACCCCTTTCTCCCCATTACAATTAAGAACCTATCTAACTCTGTCTTAAATATAATCAATGACCTGGCCTCCACAGCGTTCTATGGCAGTGAATTCCATAGATACACCAATCTGGCTGAAGTTTCTCCTTATCTCTGTTCTAAAAGGTCTTCCCTTTGCTCTAGGGCTGTGCCCTCGGGTCCTAGTCTCTTCTACCAATGGAAACATCTTCCCAACATCCACTCTGTCCAGGCCATTCAGTATTCTGTAAGTTTCAATTAGATCCCCCCTCATCCTTCTAAACTCCATCGAGGATAGACTCAGAGTCCTCAACCATTTCTCACGTTAAGATTTTCCTTCCTGGGACTGTTCTCGTGAACCTCCTCTGAACCTACTCCAGGGCCAGTACATTCTTCCTAAGATATGGGGCCCAAAACTGCACACAATGCTCCAAATGTGGCCTGACCAGAGCCTTACAGTGCCTCAAAAGTACATCCCTGCTTTTATAAATCCAGTTATATGAATAGCTTACCATCATATTAAATATGTACTTGGGTTATAAAATAAAGACTACAAAAAGCCACAGAAATATACACCAAAACAAAACTGAAACTTTAGAAATTTTTAATAAAATTAAGCATACTATACATGGCATTACCTTTGACGTTTCTCAGATATAGCTGCACTTCTCTCTGCCTCTCGAGCCCTCACTTCATCTCTTGGCCGACGTCTGCGACGATCACTTTTATTCAGTGCTTCTAATTTCATCTGTTCCCTCTTGTAGCTACGCTGATAGGCTGTAATAAGGCGGCGCAGACGCGTTGTGAGAACCGAGGTGCTGGGCCAGTACAGTTTGTCTGATTCATCATCTTGATCAAGTTGTTTGCCTGTAAAATGCTACATTCAGTAATGCTGCTGGTGTTTAAATCTTCAGAATACAAATTGAATAAAATCATGTACCTTTATCATAAAAATGGACAATCTGATACTGTCTATACTTTTATTGTTTTCTTTGCATTGAACACTCATTATGAAGATACCTTGAATCTGTTCTAAAATGGAAATGCTAGAGACTCAATAACCGTAGGACATTATCTAAGTTCATAGATATGGTTTCTAGCATACGTGCATAGGAATTAAAAATGGCATCTACGTATTTTCATACATTATTTGTACATTTGTCAAATTTTTCGCATGAACTAATTTAGCATTTGTTCACAAACTAGCAGATGTTACCATGTTTTGTAACATTCCATTTTACATGATTGTTTCCACTTACAGGTATGTGGGTTCTACTTCAAACCTCGAAGGCAATTTAGGAAAACCAAGATCATTCACTTTGTGGACACTTAATATTGGTACTGCCCATCACTGTGCCACTTGCTCAAATACAAAACATTGAAAGGAAATGTTTTCCATCCACAGATCCTGCTTGATGTGAACATTCCTAGCATTTTGCACTCTTATTTCAAATTTCCAGCCAAGAACAGGCCCTTCGGCCCTTGCGCTGACACTTGATGCCTTTCTAAACTAAAACCCTTTTGCTTCTATACAGTCAATATCCCTCTAGTCCCACCTATTCATGTATCTGTCAACGTGCCTCTTAAACATTGCTACTATATCCGCCTCCACCACCTCCTCTGGCAGCACATTCCAGGCACCTACCACCCTCCATGTAAAAACCTTGCCTCTCGCATCTCCTTTAAGTTTACTCCCCTTTTATCTCAAACCACTATCTCCGAGTAATTGACATTTCTTCCCTGAGGATAAGAAAAGACCCTGACTATCCACTCTATCCTGGTGCCTCTCATCATTTTGAAAACTGGTCAGGCTTCATTGTTCGACGTTCAAGTGAAAAAAAATCAAGTTTGTCCAATCTCTCCTCATAGCTAATACCCTCCAAACCAAGTAACATCCTGGTAAATCTCTAAGTTTCTGTAGCCTCTCCAAAGCATCCACATCTTTTGGGTAGTGTGGCGACCAGAACGTTTCACATTTATCCAAATGTGCCTGAACTAAAATTCTATACAGCTGCAACATAACTTGGCAATTTTTATACTCTATGCCCTGACTGGTGAAGGCAAGCATGCCATATGTCTTCTTGATCACTTTATCTAATTGTGTTGCCACTTTCAGGGAACTATGGACCTGTATGCCTCTGATCCCTCTGTATGTTGATGCTTCTAAGGGTTCTGCCATTTACTATATATTTCCCTCCTCCATTAGATTCTCCAAAATGCATCACCTTGCATTTGTCTGGGAGAAATTCCATCTGCCCTTTTCTCCATCCAAGTCTCCACTCTTTCCATATCCTGTATCCTCTGGCAATCTTCCTCACCATCCACAGCTCCCTCAATCTTAATGCTGCCTACAAACTTACTAATCAGGCCACTTACATTCTCCTCCAAATCATTTAAAAATATTACAAACAACAGAGGTCCCAGTACCGATTGCTGCAGAACACCCTTCCACCACTATCTTTAGAGACTATCTTTATGTATTACAGTCAACAATATTACAGTACGTTTTTGTGCCAAATTAGTGCTCTATTTTAAAGCAAACATTAAACCCATTGAAAATAAAAGTTCATAGTTTCAATCTAGAGAAACTAACTTTATTGCCAAGCTATCAAGAGATACACAAAATTCTGTCACATGATCTGTTTAAGCATACAGTATATTCAAAAACTTTCAGTTGGGAAACAATGTATTGCCAAATTACGAATCCTGTGCTTAGGTCAGATGCATTTAAAAACTTGATTACGTAACCTGAAATTCAAGTGAGCCATAGTTTGAATATGTTGGCACTTGGTGATAAAATACATCACTAATTTCCTCCTCACCCACCACAAAATCTCACCTGTGTTCTCAGCATCCATGCATTCTTCCTTGTCATCTAGTGGAGAATTCTCAAATTCCTGAAAAGGATGGTACATTAAAAATTTTGGTAACTTTTCTTCTTCTAGACTGTACATGGATTTTCCAACATCTATGATAGTACATAAATTCTCAATTTCAAAGCAGTCTTTCAAATTTTAGTTATTTGGTGCAGTCCACATCAAGGAAAAATATATTAGCACGTGACACCCAAATATTAAATTTAAATTAATTCCCAAATTTTGTAATGGCAGCTTAATAACTCAAGCGATAACACTCACATCCATTTCATCTTTAAATGGAATTCTCCCTGGTTTGTATTCCGGATCTTCATCTTCTCTGTCAAAATCAGCACTGAAAGAACAATTTTAATTGAGAGTCACTGTCTTATTGAATGGGAGGTGGCGGTGGTTGGGAAAGAGAATTCCATTTGAACTCAAAAGCACAACTTACCCATCACCAACATCTGCCAGCACATCTGTTCCCCTCTGTTCTGCAGCCATGGCCTTTGCATCAGGCATTCCCACTCGCTCCAGGAAGCAGAACAAAGGATCTGCCCTAATAGAATTGTACTTTTCATATCCTATACAAAATAATGATTTTTTTTATTTCACGTTTCAATCCATGAACAAAATTGTGTTGTGATCTTTATTAATTTCACAACAAACATTGCTATGGATATGGATGTAAAGGAATGAATGTATTAAAAACAGTTTACATGAAATCATACATCAGAAAACCAGATCAAATGAACAATAATTTACTCAGTAAATTTACTTTAGGTAGACTATACTTTTTGTAACTCAACGCAGGAAAATGACAATAAGAGGTTGAAAACTTGCTTGAGTCTGTTTATCATTTACACAATATAAAACCAACCTTAAAACTGAATGTAATATTACATTGAAAAAGATAAAGCTGAAACCAATTACTTAGTAACAGAAATGCACTGCTTGTAGAAGTGCACACAAAATTAAATAAATTCATTGTAAAACATCAGAAGAATACATCAGTTAAAATTGGAGTCTTTGAAATGAGAGTCCACCAGTACCTTTTGGACTACATCCATTCCAGGAATACAGCAAATAAAGCATGAGAAGTCCCAGTAATAGCCGAGAAAACGATTGTCAGACTGGACTCACTTCAGTTGCGTCCGTAAGCACCACTGCCTCAGTCAACCAAGGACTGCATAATTCAATTAGGTTTTGGACTGTGACATATTATTCTTAAGTATTCTTGAGCCTCAAGCCAAACTGTAATCATGAAAGGTTTTAAAAACCATCAGTACCACCCGCCCCCACCACTACTAGTCAGGACACTCAAGAGAATTCCACTATGACCTCAAGTGAATTTGGATTATGATTAGGAACTGCTCTTTGTATACATTGCGGCTGCTCCACATCCCAATGGCTCACAGTTAACAAGACAGTATTCCACAACAGGGGACGTGAAAGTCTCAGTGCTGACATTTGTGAAATAGTACTTGGAAAAAAGCCCAGGAGGCACTTATACAGATGAATGGCAGAGGTTAAGCTACCATTCACTCCAAAGCAAGCTGGTAGAGTAGTAGCACATGTGGAGCAGCAGTGTTGTTTACTAAAATAAAATGAAACCCAAAATACTTGACTTTAACTACTAATATAGGCCCACTTATCAAAATAATTTTTCAATATATGTGATCTTCATCACAGTAATTTCCAAACTGTCATGCACTTCACCCAAGTAATCTAACAAGCTTTAACAGAAACCATAACAAATAAGGTTTTGATAATTTCAAAAGTATTTCAAGTTGCTTGGATGGATTACATTTTGAAAGTTTAATATTCATAGCATGTATTAACCACACTAGTGAAGAAATTATTTATCCTCAAATCCAATTTTCCATATTTTGCAAAAAAAAAGCATTAGAAAAGGGAGCTTAGACCTACAAAACAATAATTTTCCACTCTTTTTCTTAAAGTCCACATTAGCAAGTTTGACAGGAATTCTCAATGACCATTAACAACTTTCTGTTCTCAGCATAGATGTTGGGTGCTAACAAGCTACTTCATTACAACGAGCTTTAACTTGCAAACCCAGATTCCGCCCACATCCTGACATCTTTAATATACATACTTCAGTGCTAATTGCTGGACGCCAATCAGCAATGCTTATCTGAGTTAGTATTTCTTCTTTACCACCCAAAATGTGTTTGTGGATTACACCATCTGAGCTCACATAACACATTACTCATCTTGCGTTCTAACTCAGAAATGTAAAGTTAGCAGGGAGTTTTTGTTTATTCATTCGTAGGCATCACTGAAATGAATAAAAACAAACTCCCCACAAACTACGTGGTTCAATATTACACTACAGTATTTATTTCAATGGTGATAAATTGGAAAATGTTGACATAGAAATAAAAATAGAAAATAGATGCAGGTGTAGGCCATTCAGACCTTCGAGCCAGCACCACCATTCAATATGATCATGGTTGATCATACAATTTCAGTATCCCATTCCTGCTTTCTCTCCATACCCCTTGATCCCTTTAGCTGCAAGGGCCACATCGAACTCCCTCTTGAATATATCTAACGTACTGGCCCCAACAGTTTTCTGTGGGAGGGAGAAATTCTTCCTCATCTCAGCCCCGAATGGCTTACCCCTTATTCTTAGATGTACAAAGGCATCATTGTACACCAGTCACTAAGGGCAAGCACGCAGGTCTTCATTGCAAAAGGGTTTGAGAACAACAGGTAGGAAGTCTTAGTCAGGTCGCTTGGGGTCGTGGTAATGCCACAAAGTATTGTGCGCTGATTCGATCTGCTTAGCTATAAAAGCACAGACTTGCCACACAGTGAGTACAGTAAAGGTTCACCAGACCTGGGATGGCAGGACTGTCACAGGAAGAGAAATTAAGTCGACTAGGCCTGCATTTATTGGAGATCAGAAGATTTCACTCAGAGGGTGATGAACCTGGGGATTTCTCTACTTGAGAAGGCTGTGCTTGCCAAATCACAGAATATATTTAAGAAATAAATATAGATTTATGGACATTAAAGGCATCAAAGGTCATGGAGAGACACTGGGAGTATGGAGTTGACATGAAAGAATCAGCCATGATTATCTTGAATGCATATCGATGTGTTAACTGGCCTACTTCTGTTCCTATTTTGTATGTACAGGGAGTCCCCCGATACACGCTCAGCTTACAAACATGATCTCATACAGGAGTGTAATTATAAAGATCCAACGTATGAACATTTCCTATACTTATAAATGGCTATTTCACGTTGTCCTGCTTTGTGGTCTGACTTGCGAATGGACTCAAGAACGAATGCCACAGCCTGGGGACTGCTAATATAGGAAGTTATCATCCACAGAACCACTTGGGCACTCAAAAGTAAACTCAATGTTTATAGCAGCCATTACATACCATGCTTGAACACTCCAATGAGAAGGCATTTATCAGATTCCCTGTCCCACCAATCCGTAGGAAGTTCAGCATGGTCGATTTCTGGGATCCAGATATCCAAATCACTAAACAAAAGCAAGACATTTATAAACCACTTCCAAGTAAATGAACAATGTTGCTTAAAAAAAAACTTACTACAAAAGTACAAAAGTAAACACTTCTCCCATTAAAATTGACCACAGTAATCTGTGAGGGTTCAAAAAATGCACAAAAATATGAATGCAACTGTACTTGCTTTGATGCTAACTTGCTAAAATCTTGAAAAATAACTCTTCTTTATGTACCTATTTGTAAGCAATTCCAAGTTACAAAATTTCTTCAATTTTTATATTTCTCCTTCCATCTAGTAGTTTTGTTCAATGATTCAAAAGTTGTGGAATACAAGTCAACTTATAAACCTGAAGAAAAGTTATCGGAGTGGTGATAAACCGATTGATTTTTTAGACCCGTTTTTCACTTCAACAGTTGCAGTAATTAAGTTTCTAAAAATTCTCTTCTTTCAAAATTAGTTTCATTTCAAAGTAAAGGTCTAATATCCTTTAGGGAAGGGAACTGCCACACTAACATGGTCTAGCTTACATGTGACTCCAGACCCACAGCAATGTGACATTGCTCTCTGAAATAACTGAGCAAGCCAATCAGTCTATCAAGTTTCACTAAAAGAGGAATGGAACTAGATGGAGCACCCTGCATTGACTGAGGTCCCGGAAACAACAATGGCAAATTCAGACCTGTTGGCTTTGCAAAGTCCTCCTTACTAACATCTGGGTGCTAGTGCCAAAATTGGGAGAATTGTCACAAAGACTGGTCAAGCAACAGCCTGACATTGTCTGTAAGGTATGATTCTGTGAGAATGACTATGTGCTAAGTATTACCATCCTTGGGTATATCCTGTCCCATGAGCAGGATTGACCTAGCAGAGGTGGCAGCACAGTCGTATATAGTTGGAAGAAAGTTGCCCTTGGAGCCCTCAACATGGCTTCTGGATCCCATGAAGTATGACGATACTCTCTGTTGCAGAATGCATGCTCCCCCATTTTGAACACCAGTTGGAGGAAGCACGGAGGGTGGTTAGGACGGAAGATCTACTCGGAACAAGGGATTTGAATGCCCATTCGTGGACACGTGCATCTCCATCAAGGATTTCAATCTACTACAAGCTGACAGATGACCTCATGATGCTGCACTTCTTTAGCTTCCACCCTAAACATATTACAACAAGCCCTGCACATACACAAGATCTGCTCAGAGGAGGATGACCGCGACAGACACCTAGACATTTTGAAGGATGCTCTCATAAGAATGGGATACGATGCTCAACTCATTGATCGCCAGTTCCGACATGCCACAGTGAAAAACCACTCCGAAGACAGACACAGGATACAACCAATAGAGTACCCTTCGCCATCCAGTACTTCCCCCGAGCGGAGAAACTACGTCATGTTCTTCGCAGCCTTCAACATGTCGTTGATGACAACGAGCATCTCGCCAAAATCATCCCTACACTTCCAAACCACCACCAAACCTTAAACAGACCTTTGCCCACAGCAAACTATCCAGCTTTCAGGGCAACATCGACCAAAACACCATACAACCCGGTCATGGCAACCTCTGCTAGACATGTCAGATCATTGGCATGGCATTACCATCACATGTGGGAACTGCAAATTCTGTGTGTGTGCTTCTCTCATCACCTGATGAAGGGGCTATGCTCTGAAAGCTTGTGATTTCAAAAATGAACCTGTTGGACTACAACCTTGTGCTGTGTAACTGCAAACCCTATAGTGCTTAGAGGTCATTTGGCCCATCAAGTCTTCACCAACCCTTTGAACAGCATCCACTCAGACCCAACCTTGCCACCTCATCCTCATAACCCCGCATTAACCATGACAAATCCACCTAACCTGCACTTCCCTGGACACTATGGGCCATTTAGCATGGCTAATCCACCTAATCCACATCTTTGGTCTGTGGGAAGAAAGCAGAACACCCAGAGGGAAACCCACGCAGACATGGGGCGAATGTCTGTGTGGATTTTGCACAGTCGCCTGAAGGTAGAATCAAACCCTAGTGCTGAGGCAGCAGTGCTAACCACTGAGCTACTGTGAATTGTAGACGGTAGACAAAGTTTGGGGAGTTACTTGCCACAGTATTCCTAGTCTCTGACCTGCTCTTATAGCCACTGTGTTTACGTGGGTGAGTCCAGTTGAGTTTCTAGTGAATGATAACAGCTGGGATGTTGATGTTGGGAATTCACTGATGATAACACCATTGAATGTCAAAGGGAAGTGATTAGCTTATCTCTTCTCTTATTGGTGATGGTCAAAGCCTGGTATTTGTGTGGAGTGAATGTTACTTCTCATTTCTCAATCCAAGTCTGGATATTGTCCAGATCTTATTGCATTTGAACGTGGGCTGCTTTGGTATCTGAGGTGTCGTGAATGACGCAGAACATTGTGCAATCATCAGCGAACATCCCCACTTCTGACCTGATGATGGAGGGAAAGTCATTAATGAAGCGCAAGACGACAGTTGGGCCCAGGGCATTACCCTAAGGAACTCCTAGAGATGTCGTGGAGCTGAGATGACTGATCTCCAACAACCACGACCATCTTCTGACATGCCAGGTATGACTAACGAATGGAGTGTTTGCTCCCAAATACCTATTGATTCCAGTTTTGCTTAGGCTGCTTGATGCCCCGGTCAAATGCAGCCTTGATATCAAGGGCGGACACTCCCACCTCACCTCTGGAATTCAGCTCTTTTGTGCATGTTTGAACAAGACTGGAATGAGATCAGGAGCTGAGTGGCCTTAGCAGAACCTAAACTGGGCGTCACTGAGCAAGTGCTGCTTGATAGCACTGTCGATGACAACTTCCATCGCTTTACTGATGATCAAGAGTAGACTGATGGTGCAGTAATTGGCTGTGTTGGATTTTTCCTGCTTTTGTGCACAGGACATAACCGGGCATTTGCCACATTGTCAGGTAGATGCTAGCATTGTACTGTACTGGAAGAGCTCAGCTTGGGAGCAAGTTCTGGAGCACACGTCCTCAGTACTATTGTTGCAATGTTGTCAAGCCCATAGCCTTTGCAGTGTCCAGTGCATCCAACCATTTCTCAACTTCGTGTGGAGTGAATCAAATTGTCTGAAGACTGGTATCTGTAATACTGGGGACCACTGGAGGAGGCTGAGATGGATCATCCACTCAACACCTCTCGCTGAAGATTGTTGAGAATGCTTCAGCCTTACCTTTTGCACTGATATGCTCTTCCACCATTGAAGGTGTGCACACTATCTACAAGATGCATTGCAGAAATTCACCGAAGTTCCTCAGACAGCACTTTCCAAACCGATGACTGCTACCATCTAGAAGGACAAAGGCAGATCCCCTCTGTGCCACCCACCATTCAGACTTGGAAATATTTCACCGTGCTTCCAGGTCACGGAGTCAAAAATCCTGGAATCCTTCCCTTCAATGTCATTGTGTACCTACACAAAATGGACTGCAGTGTAACAGTAGGCAACTCACCAACACCTTTTTAATAGTACCCAAGGATGTAATCCATATGCCATGAACGAACAAAAAAAAGTTCTACCATTTCTACGGGATATAGATTCGCAGGCACCTATTTTCTGGCATTTAATTAGATATCAATTAATGACAATTGATTAAAATAGGCATTATCTACCAGAATTACACTGAAACTGACCCACCTGTCTCCACTACCAGTCAGTTATCAAAATTTCACATCACAAGGTTGATTTAGGGAATCGATTTTACAGTATGCAGTAGATATGGTTTCATAAACAAAAGCAATTTACTAAACATACATTTATGAAAGCTAAGTGGTATAAAGTTTACAATCTTATATTGTTCCTATCATGTGACAATCTAGAATAGTTTTAGTTACACCCTGAATCAGCTGCAAATAAACAAGATTTTATGATACCACTGGAGACAGTGGATACTGCAAATGTACAGGTCCTAACAACACTGCACAGAACACTTGCGTAAAGTCATAGGGTCAGACAGCACAGAAACAGACCTTCCGTCCAACCAGTCTATGCTGATGATAATTCCAAAATAAACCAGCCCCACCTGCCTGTGCTTGGCCCATATCCCTCCAAACATTTCTTATTCATGTACTTATCTAAGTGTCTGTTAAATGTTGTTATTGTACCCGCATCCACCACTTCCTCTGGAAGTTCATTCCACACACAAATCAATCTGTATAAAAAATTTGCCTCATATCTTTTCTAAACTTCTCTCCTTTCAACTTGAAAATATGTCCCTTCGTCTTGAAATCCCCCCACCTATGGACAAGGCACCTGCCATTCACCCTATCCATACTCATGTTTCTATAAACCTCTATAAGGTCATCTCTCAACATCCTAAGCTCCAGCAAAAAACATCCCAGCCTATCCAAGCTCTCTTTATAACTCAAATCCTCCGTTCCTGGCAACATCCTGGTAAAACTCTTCTGAACCTTCTCTAATTTAATAACATCCTTTCTATAACAGGAACTAGCCAAACATTTAGCCAAATTGCTCCTGTACAGGCACAACAAATGCATCTATCAGATGTCGGAAAATGCCCAGGTTACGTGTCTACAAAAAGCAGCATAAATCCAATCTAGTCACTTATACTGCTGCTAGTCTAACAAGTGATGAAAGCTGTTATCAACTGTGCTAACCACGGCACTTGTTTAACAATAACCTGCCCACTGATACTCAGTTTGGATCAAACGTAGAAAAAAAGAAGTCCTTAATGAGTATTTTGCATCTGTATTCACGAAGGAGGGAGAGAGGGTATGTTGATATTCTAGGGCATGTTGATGTTAAGAAGATGGTGGTGTTGGGTGTCTTAAAAAACATTAAGGTAGATACGTCCCCAGTGCCTGATAGGATATATCCCAGGTTACTGAAGGAGACAACTGCTGGGGCCTTGACAAAAATCTTTGTATCTTCTTTAGCCACAGGTGAGGTCCCAGAAGACTAGAGAATAGCCAATGTTGTTTCTTTGTTTGAGAAAGGCATGAAGGATAATCCAGGAAATTATAG